TCCCCCCTCTACTACCATCCCCTCCCCCCCCCCCCCCACCACACACAAAAACACACCTTCCCCTTCCTCCACCCCCCACATCCCCCACACCCCCCTCCCCTCTACCACCTTCCAGCCGTCTCCGCCCTTTGTCCAGGTGTACGACTTTTTTTGGTCACCGACGGAAGAAGGGGGGTGGGAGAGGCCTCCCCCCCCACCCCGCCTCCCCTTACACAATCATTCACTCACCACCACCCCCCCTTTCCCTCCTCCTCCTCCTGCATAGAGTCTGTGGAATGTGTCAAGGCTATGGATGCCGCAGGGAGCTTTGATGACGACTTTGGTATGGTCGCTGGTGAGCTGGAGGACGATGTGGCCTGCTACATTCTCTTCCGCAAGGACGAGGTCCATGCTGACTTTGGTCATGAGTGGATGTTCCTCTCCTTTGTCCCGGATACCTGCCCTGTTCGCCACAAGATGCTGTACGCATCGACCCGGGATAACGTCAAGAAGCAGCTTGGTGAGAACGTGTTCACTTCGGAGATGCACGCCTCGCTCAAGGATGAGCTCACCGCAGAGGGCTACGCCGCACATCTCGAGGCCCAGAACGGGACTGACTATGACGTGCTCTCCATGGCTGAGCGCGAGAAGATGGAAGAGGCTCGTATGGAGATCCACGTTGGTGTCGGTCGCGCAGGTGTCCACGGCGTCGACTTCCCCCTCACCAGCGCTGCGTCGGACGAGATCAGCAAGCTTGCCGCTGGCTCGCTCAACTACGTCCAGCTCCGCCTCGACCTCGATGCCGAGACTATCGATCTCGCCGAGGCTGCCTCTGTCGACGCCACCGAGCTCGCCGCCCACGTCTCAGACGAGTCGCCGGCGTATCACGTGTTCAACTACAAGCACGAGTTTGAGGGTGCCGCTACCGCCGCTGTCGTCTTTGTCTATTCTTGCCCGCTCTCGTCCAAGATCAAGGAGCGCATGCTGTTCTCCTCGTGCAAGGAGGCCGCCATCGCCCAGATCACCGGCGCCGGCGTCACCATCGACGCAAAGGTCGAGATCTCTGAGGCCGCCGACATCGACGCCGAATTTATCCACACCACCATCCACCCCCGGCCAAGGAGGAGAAGGTTACCTTTGCCAAGCCCAAGGTTGCCCGCCGCCGCCCGCAGCGCAAGGCCCGCCGTGGCAAGAACGAGTAAATGCCGTCACCTGCCTGGTCACACCTGCCAGGTCTTGACGTTGGCGTCGGCCCCGCCAGACACCACAAGCCCGCCTGCTCCCATGTGCAGCGACTTGACCGTGTTCACATGCCCGCGGAGCAGCCCCGTCTCAGTCAACGACTCGCGGTCAAAGACATGGACGACTGGCGAGCCGGCTGCAGCCACAAGCGTCTGCCCGGCAAACGCTAGGCTCTGCACCCCGCCCGGCAGCGCCACAGAAGCCGCCATCGACCCCATCCGCAGATCCCACGCCGCAAGCACCTTATCCGTCCCGCCCGTGTACAAATACGAGGCATCAAAGCCGAGCGTAAGCACTCCGCCGGCGTGCCCGGTCAGCGTCCGGTGGCACTCGCCAGTTCGGATGTCCCAGAACTTGATGGTGGCGTCGCCTGACGCTGTCGCCAGCCCGTACTGCCAGAACTGGAGATCGGCAATGTACGAGTCGTGGCCACGAAGCGCAAGCACCTCGGCCCCAGCTTCCATGTCCCACACCCGCGCCGTCTTGTCAAGCGAACCCGTGACCAGCGTTGAGCCCTCAAACTGGAGCGACGAGACCGAGCCGTTGTGCCCGGCGAGGAGCAGCTTCTGCACGCCTGTTGTCAGCTCAAACACCCGCACCGTCTTGTCGCCCGAGCCCGAAACCACCACCTCGCCCGAAGCCTGCAGTGCCCGCACCCATCCCGTGTGCCCGAGAAACGACCGCTCGCACACGCCCGAGTCGATGTTCCACATCCGAACCGTTGCGTCCGATGAGCCCGAGAACACTTTGCCGCGCACAGGCTCGTAGCACACTGCCGCCACAGACGCCGAGTGCCCGTAGAACGTCCGCGTGCACATGTCGATGCCGCTGGTTGCCCGCCCGTCGCGCGCCAGGCCCAGCGGCGACAGCACCCGCAAGGTGCCCGTCTCGGCATCATACGACGAGACGCCGGGCGTCGGCTCGGCTGACGACGCGCGCGCAAACACTGCGCCGCCACTCCGCCCAGGTGGCGAAGCCAGCGGATCGTCGCCCGCCACCGGCGCGCCCTTGATCGACTTGACCCGATGCTCGAAGCCCTCCGAGACATCGCCGATCGACTTGAGCTTGGCATCCAGGGCTGCAACCGAGGTCTTGAGCTCGGCCTCGCGGACACCGATGGAGGACAAGCGCGACTCGAGATGCCCCTTTCGCGCAGTCAGCTCTGCCAGAGCCTTGTCGACCTCACGCAGTTCAGCAGCGACATCGACTCGCGAGCGGAAGAGCTTCTCCGACTCATTTGTCAACCACGAGCGCTCCTCATGTAGCTCGGTAAAGAGCCTCGCCACCGAGTGCAACGACGACAAATGCCTTGATGGCGAAGAAGGACTTCCATCACTCGACCTATGTCGCCCAGTAGCCACCGAACCATGAGCCGATTCCACCGAAGTATGAGCCGAGGAAGCCGACGAGAGTAATGACGACGATGACGGCGGAGCAGAGGTAGCAGAGGCAGATGGGTTGGTCAGCAAGCCCAGGAGCCTATGACCCATACTCCCACTCTCTGTATCACTCCTACCTGTGTACATACACTCTCCCTCTACAGCACAGTCGAGTGGTGTGGTATGGCCCTTGCAAACCGTGGCAGGCCCCACCCCCCCGCCACCCCCCCCCCCCCCTCGGCTGTCTCCCCCCCCCCCTCTCCCCCCCCTGCCAGTCAGTCTCTCGCCCGTTTTCGTGCTGGCCTCGCTCGCTCACCCCTTTTGGCGCCACGTGCTCGCCCCCCCCCCCCCACCACCACCACCCCCCCCCTTCCAAAAAATACAACATCGACAACATGAGTATTATGATGACTGGTTCTGATTACAAAGTGGCCGCAAAGGTTTGATGCGGATGATGTGTGCTTTGTGATGAGGTTTGATGCTTGCTGATAGTCTGTCATCGGGGCGGTAGAGAGCGATCACATCTGATCGGATGTGGATTACAGCAGCTCTCGACAGGACAGCTGCTATCGTAGCATGGCCAGAGAGACTCACCGCCTGTGGAGCATCAGAGTGGCGTGACGATCTTGAGCTGACTTTGGGCTTGTGTGCAGTCCACGTATTTGGCGTCTGATCAGCTCCAGCCCGGCAGCGAGGTCAGGAAGACCAGATGGTGTGAATCCGGATCACTGCACCTCGCCGACAGCTGCTACTGTCGGATCGCAAGAGATATTCATCACTGTCGGATGTCAATCATCTTGTGCTGACCGTGTGCGTGTGCGCGGTACTCTCGTCTGGCCCCTGATCGTCTCCAGCTCCAGTGACCATCGAGTGGGCGCCTGGAGTCGCTTGGCCGCGGCCGGGCAGTAGCTGCCACACCTCACCTGAAAACAAGTCGCTCTTAGGGACAGAGGGCAACCAGCATTGGCCGAACGCTCTGAACATAGTCCTCTGCACGACTTTATCATGCTGCGGTTGTATATGGCAGCGCTGGAGCGGAGCCCGCTACTGACCAAGATGCTCACCTGCGCTGTCCTCAACGCCACCGAAGAGACGTTGGGACAGATCCTGGCGAGTCGGACAGCAAGATCACGCCAAACTGCCGCTCGTGCTCGTTCAGCAGCGTCGGCTCGCGACTCGAGCTCGATCTGGCGGACGGCGACGTCGTTCCCCGGCAATGCGGGCCAGTCGAATCTCGGATCGCCGATACGGTCTCCTGGGCTGGACGGCCGCGATGGCGTCCGTGCTGGCAATAGCGGCAACGAAAGGACAGTGTCGGTGGCGCGGGTTGTCGCGGAGTGGTTGGATGTGGCAAAGGAGAAGGCGCTCGCTGTGGTGGGCGCCAACATCGGTTGGTTGCGGGTGGCCAAGATGGGCGCATACGGTGCTCTGATCAACGCCCCGCTCAACCATGTCCTCTACGGAGCAGCTGATGTTGTCTTTACCAACCTCACATCATCGTCAATCACTAACATGTCACTGCATCTTGCAGCCGTCAACATCTTCATCATTCCCATCGTCACCTATGTCTACCTCTACGCGCTGGGGACGATCGAGGGCCTCAGCCGCGACGACCTTCAGGCCCGCATCTTCCGCGACTTTGTCCCTATTGTCAAGCAGACGTGGACATACTTTCCAATCATCCAGCTCATTGTCTTCAAGTTTGCACCGGCTCAGCTCACTGTCCCCATCTTCAACCTCATCGGCTTTGTCTACGGCGTCTACATCAACGCCACCTCCAAGACGCAGTAAGCAAGCACAGGGTGCGAGAGAGAGAGGGAGCAAGCAATCTGTATCAATGACCATGGAATGGGACAAGTTGTATGGGGGGGGTCCAAGGATAGCGATGGGCTCCTCTCTAACTCGACGTGTAGCCACGGCATGGCACTGATGAGCGATGACTATTATATAGATAGCAAATCATCATATCAAATAAAGTCAGTTAGTCAGGATCAATATTGCACACATCATAGAGCAAGTACTGCAGATGTGTGGATGCTGCACGGGTGCTTATAGCCTTCCCCTTCTTCCGATGTAGTGTTGCAGTTGTGTTCCGTCCATCTGACCGAGGATCAGCGACGATCACATGGGCAGACACTGTCACCTGGCGAGGTCAAGGGGGATGGCAACAAGTGTGGAGGGAAGAGGGTACACTGCACTCTGAAAGTGGTCTGTGTGTGTAGTGGAGGACTCTTCATGGAGCTGACCCTCTCGGTAGATGCTGTGTTGGCCGTGTCTGGTTGTAAGAGGATGGAGGATGTGGTATGTGTGAGGAGGGGGGGAGGGGAGAGGGAGGGGGTGAAGGGGAGGGGGAAGGGGAAAGGGGGGGGAGGAGGGGGAAGGGGGCACACCAACACACACACACACACATCGATCACTCGTCACTCACCACGCGCACATTCATCGATGACTCATCACACGGCACACACTTCGATCACTCGCCACACACACACACACACCATCACGCACGCACACACATCATCACGCACGCACACACATCATCACAACATCATCACACGTACACCCCATCACAAACACATCATCACACGCACACCCTATCACACATACAGAAGGAACTTAATCTCTCATCGCTCGGCCTGCGACGGCTTGTGTGCCCGACCAAGGTCGCCTCGCAGCTAGTCTCGCTCATCTACCTCAACATCGCCAACAACGAGCTGGAGGTGCTCGATCTCCCGCTGCCTCGTGTGCGAGTCTTGGATGTCTCGTGCAACCGCTTGGCCAATGTCGAGTTTGTCCACACCATGCCGCACATCGAGGTCCTCCGCATCGAGGCCAACCCGCTCCCAGCTCACGCCGGCTACCTGGCTGTCCTTCATCTTGGCGAGCTCAAGGTGATCAACGGGGTGATGCTGACGTCGGCCATGTTTACGCTCGCCTGGAGTATTCGCAACGCCGTCTTTGACGTTATCGAGTCGCTCTGGGCCCGCGACGTTATCAAGGCACTCAAGCGCGACAACTTTGACGATGTGCGAACGGCCTTTATTCGCGTTGTCGTCACAAGCCTCACAGATATGTACTCGGATCCGCCGGCACTGCGTGACTTTGCCGTTTTCCTTGCCGTCGAGCAACTGACCAAGCGCCTTTTGCAGTACCATGAAGGTTTGTATCCTGGCGCTAAGAACGACCGCAAGCGGCGCCGGTCCCGCAAGCGAGCGGCAACGGCGGCGCCAAGCAAGCGCCTGCGTCCGCTCGCGTCCCGGATTATGGCCCATGGCCAGGCTTCTGGTGTTCCACCAGCCTCGATCAAGCACGCACTCGCGTACCAGACGGATGTGGCTCCCGGCACTGAGCCGTGGCCCTACCCGTACCTCCCGTCGTTTGCCGACGTTGCCAAGGTGGAGGCCTCCCGCGACAAGTGGGTCCACACTGACAACTCGCAAATCACCCGCTCGCTCCACACCTACAATAACTCCTCCGGCTTTGCCTTTCACGAGCCGGTGGCGCTCATCCGGGCGCTCAGCTCGTGGAACGGCGGCTCGACCGCAACTTCGAGCTCACCTTACTTTCCAGTCGTCGCTGCGCGGAAGAGCGCCGACGCCAAACACATGGCCCGCATCCTCGCTGCCGACTCGCGGTTGGACCTTGTCTCGGGCATGTTCCGCTTCGACGGCCGTGTCGTAGTCCAGCGGCTGGTCTCGCAGTCGCTTGAGGACGCGACCCAAGTCCTTATCCGCTGGCATCCATCCGGCTGGATCCCGGACGAGTGGCATGACGCGGCCGATTACTCGCTCGTTACCTACCGTCATGTTTCAACGCTGCCGCATGATATGGTGCTGCAGACCCTGAGCAAGCTTGTGTAAACCATCTTTCTCTGCCTACGGCTACAAGTCTAGGTCGAGGTCGTCGTCGTCGAGGTTGAGGTCGAGCGAGCCGTCGTCGTCGAGCAGCGCCTCGTCTGACGAGTTGAGGTCGAGCGAGCCGAGCGAGCCGTCGCCGCCCGAGCCGCCGAGGTCCAGATCGTCCGAACCGCCGAGGTCCAGATCGTCCGAACCGCCGAGGTCCAGATCGTCCGAGCCGCCGAGGTCCAGATCGTCCGAGCCGCCGAGACCTAGGTCGTCCGAGCCATCGAGACCCAGATCGTCCGAGTCGCCAAGATCCAGTTCGTCGGCACCGGCCTCGCCGTCATCAAGTCCGAGATCGTCATCAGGCACCTCGTCGAGGTCGAGATTGCCGCTGCTCACATTGTCCACGTCGCCAAGGTCGAGGTCGTCTGATCCCAGCGAAATCGACCCGCTTGGCTCTGGCTCTGACTCTAGCACTGGCTCGGGCTTTGGCGCCGGTTCCGGTTCGACAGCAGCCGGCTCGGCCTTGGCCTTGGCTTTTGGTTCGGGCGTTTCAGGCGTCTCCACCTTTGGCTCTGCCTTTGGCTCCGACTTGGGCTCCGACTTGGGCTCCGACTTGGGCTCCGACTTGGGCTCCGACTTGGGCTCCGACTTGGGCTCCGACTTGGGCTTAGGATCGGGCACAACCTCCTTTTTGCTAGCGGCCTTTCGCTTTTTGGGCGGCGGCGTCCGCGACGGGGTTGCCACAGACACCTCCGGCTGCCGGGACGGGACGTAGGTCTTTCCGGCGGCCTTGGCAGCAGCGCGAGCCTCAACTTCTTCCTTGCGGGTGAGACCATCGACGTTGCGCTTTGGCTCGGGAACGAGACGTTTTGCAACCTCGTCTGGAAGCGGGCGAACACGAAGCGGCTTGTGCGGCGGAGGGTTCTCGCGCTCGGCGAGCTGCTCGCGCATGCGGAGCGCAATCTTGCGCGAGCTCTCAAACGTTTTGGTTGTTGTTTCGGCACAGGCCGGTGGTTGGCGGCGGCGAGACTGCGCGCGCGCAAGGCGCGCGGCGTGGCGGTCCTGCGCCCGCTGGCGCACAGCCGACGGCGTGTTTTCCAGCTTTCGGAGCAGGTGCGCGGTCTCGAGCTGCAGCCGCTTGGCCGATGCCGACGAGATGCGGACAGCGTTGGTCCGGATCTGGTCTTGGGTCTTGAGCGAGTGGATGGCGGTGGCTGTTTCGGTCTGCGACTCGAGAATCTGCGCCGCGGTCTCGGGTTTGCGGACCAGCGGGGTGACAGCCTGGCCAACGACTTGGCGGCACTCACGAGTGGCAGCGTCAAACGCGCGCCGCCGCGCAATCTTGCGCTTGTTCTCGATCCGCGCTTCCTCCCGCGCCTTGGACCGGCCCGCCAGCGACGACGAAATTGGCTCGGGCACCGTCGTCTTGGTCAGCAGCTTGCGCTGCTTGAGCACCTTGCGCTTGGAGCGTGAGAGCGTCGCCTCGAGCTCCATTCGCCGCATCTCCAGCTCGACCTTGCGCTCGATGACTGCTTGCTCTGCCTCCTGCGCCTCGAGCTTGGCCACATGCCGCCGCCGGGTCCGTGAGCTTTGCGAGCCGGTGCGGAGCGAGCGCGGGGTGCCGCGGCCCGATGCCGCCCGCGGCGAGTCGACGCTCGCCAGCGCACTCTCGGCCTGCGCCGCAGCCCGCGGCGCCCGGGCAAAGTCGGCTTCGGAGAGCAGCGGTCGCACGTCGGGCGTCGACTGCGCGAGTGTAAGCATGTTGCGTTGCTCCGGCGAGAGCACTTCGGCCAGCCCGTTGCCTGCCACGTGGCTCCGCGGCACGCTATCGCCACTTGCCGCCGCGCGGATCTCGGCCGGCGAGCGAACGCGGAACTTTTCGGCGTAGAACTTGCGCTTGAGCTCGAGCTTGTCGCGGAGAGTTACGCCTCCGCCCGCATACGCCTCATCGCGGGCGGTGCGGCGACTGCCCGGCTGCGCCACATGCCGCGCGCCGTCGGCAGTGATCCCCGCGGTGTAGTAAACATCTGGCCCCATGCGACCCGAGCCATAGCCGTCGGCTGCAGCCTCCTCAGCCGCTAGCAGCGAGGCCTCCAGCTCTGTGCTCTCCTCCGTCTCTGACGCAAGGAGCGAGGGGACCGGAGTCCCGATGGACGACACAGCATGATGCGGCGGAGTATCTGGCATGGGCTGACCCCGGACCCTTGTAGCGGCCAGGATGGCCCTCGAAGAGTTCATGGTGGCACTACCTGGCGTAGCAGGAGCTGCCGTCGCGGACGGGTAGTAGCCAGTGGTAGCTGGAGCCGGAACTTGGCGAGCGGAAGCAACCGACGGAGGAGCACGAGGAACAGGAGAGAGTTGAAGACCATTGGAGACATCATCACCACCATCATCATCAATAAAGTCTAGATCAAGATCATGGTAGTCGAGGTCATCATGGTGGGCACCATACTTGCTGGTGGTCGCCGTCGTCGTCGTCCTGCCGTGGCCCACCAACACATCGTCCGTCTCCTCACCGTCAAAGTCAAAGTCGGAGAGGCTTTCAAAGGTCATTCCCTCTACCGTGTAGTCGGTGGCAGACACCTCGTCATATGCAGAGTACATAGCTGCTGCCATGGTGCGTGACTGGTGGTGGTGGTGGTGGTGGGTGGGTGGGTGGGTGGGGTGGTGGCCCTGTTGCTGGCTCTGTGGTGGCTGGCGACGAGGACCGTTTGATCAACGCCCGCCGCTGTGTGTGATCAACTTCCTGATCAAGCGGTGGTGGTGATCAAGCGGTGGTGGTGATCAAGCCGTGGCGATCACCCTGCCTAGCCAGTCACCCTGCCAAGCCAGTCCCTCCCCCCCCCCCCCCCCCCCCCCCCTTTCCCCCCCGATTGCCCTCCCCCTCCCCCCTTCCCCTCCCTCCCTCCTCCTCCTCTCCTGGCCATTCCCTCCTTCGCCAAACCGTCCTCTCCCCCCCCCCCCCTTCCATCTGTGACCGTTCTTTCCTTTGTCCTGGTTTCTTTCTCTCGGCGCGAATCCGCGTGCTTGTTTCCTCTTTCCCCTCATCCCACCCCCCCCCCCATACTCATCATTTCTCTCTCTTTCTCTCCAAACCATATGTCTACGGATACTTCCATTGCAGGTGAGGCAACCGAGGCCAAGAAGCTTTTTCATGTGTTCATCTCGTACAGGGTGGCGACTGAGGCTGGCTTGGCCGAGTCGCTCTGTGACAAGCTCCAACAGGCGGTGATTGGAAAGGACAAAGTCCGTGTGCGGTGCTTTCTTGATCGGAACAATCTGGTGGAGGGAGAGGACTGGGAGAGGGGCTTTCTCAACGGCCTCCATGGATCGATGCTCTTCATCCCGCTCATCTCGGCCAAGGCCATTGCCAACATTGCCTCCCTTGGTCCCGATGACAAGGACAATGTCTTGCTCGAGTATGAGAAGGCCCTTGCTCTGAGAGACGCTGGGAGGATGGAAATCTTGCCGCTGCTGGTTGGCCATGTCGACGATGCTCGCGCCTACCATCGGTTCTCGGCCTGGAGTCCCTTTCCGGACATTGTCTCGCTCACCACCCGCCAGGCCGCCTCGGACGCCGGCGGCGAGCTCAAGACGGTTGCCCAGACCATGGCCGAGCTGTTCTCCATCCAGGGCGTCTTTGTTGATCCGCGAAGCCTCAAGGATAAGATCCCGACCATTGTCAAGCGCCTTGACTCGTACGTCTGGCCGCGCTACCGTGCGATGTGGCATGCGCGTGACGAGCTCGGGCCCGAGGAGACCTTCTCCTGCGTCCAGTGTGGGCAAGACTTTGTCGAGTCGGCCAACGGCCGCGGCGCCTGCCGCTACACGTACTACTCGCCGTGGATCAACAACAAGCCGCGCGGCGAGGCCGGCTACCGCCGTGCCCGCCACGCCGCCGTCCACCACAACAACTTTCCCTACACTCGCCGCTACGAGTGGGCTCTCGACACCGTCGGCTGGCGCTCGCACGCCACCAAGCTCTTCACCGCCTCGGTCGACGACTATGCTGCCGAGACTGAGCTCGTTGCCACCGTTGGCATTGTCAACGACGGCCCGCGCTCCGGCCATCTCTTTGTCGCGCTTGACAACATCTCGTGGGTTTGCCTCTTCTCGCCGGACGACATCGCTGAGGCCCAGGCTGGTGGCTGGGAGCGCATCGCCCACATCCCCAAGCCGGCCTTGCCGCTTGTCGAGCCCATCCCCTCGCTCACAACAGCCACGCAGGCAACAGCTCCCACATGGTTCAAGGCCGAGTGGGTCTACGCGCTGGAACCGCGCGAAGACGCCAGTGAGCTGCGGACCATTGTCGGCATTCGCCTCTCCATCATGCCGTCGCATGTCGACCAGTCAGCGCCCGACGCCCAGCCCTCCTCGTACGTCGTGTACATTGATCCGGCCACTCTCGAGATGAGCGGCGTCGAGACCGAGTTTTCGACCAACATGAGTGCTGCCCCCACTAGTGCCGATGCTGCCGTCACCCCCGAGCCGGTCCTCGCCACTGCCGGTGCCTTTCTTCCCAACGCCTTTCCGGCCGCACCCGACGCGCCGACGCCAAGGCCCGCGCCCGCCTCACGCCCGCTGGCGACCTCCCAGTCTCGCTCAAGCTCACTGCGGATGTTGTCGGCACAGCGGCGAGTCGGACTAACGCCGACGTTTTTGCTCTTGAAGCCACCTTCATCAACCTTAGTGAGACCGCCAAGATCACTCTCCTCGATGGCGAGGTGCTCTGGCGACCGCATGGCGCCGGCAGCGATGCCTGGACCCACGTCGCTCAGGACTGGCCGGCGTCGGGCCTCGAGCTCACGTCCTGGTCATCCGGCGCCGGCGACGCTGACTCCCGCTTGACAAGCTCCAGCTGGCCTGCCGTCCTCCCTGCTGACGGTGTTGCCCGCGGGGTCCTCACCTTCCATGTCCCGTCGCCCGGCAAGGCCGAGGCCAACTTCCGCTGGCGTCGCGCCACCTGGATCGCTCGCTTCACCGCCATTGACTTTGCCATTGTTCTCGAGTCCAAGAAGGGCGCAGAGGGCCGGTTCGAGTTTACCTTTGCTAACCCGCCGCAAGAGCTCTTCTCCGCTCCGCCGGCCGACGCCCGCCTCCACATCTACGCCGACAACGTCGAGGCTTTTTCCCGCTCTGCGCTCACTATGGTGGACTCGTCCGACGCCAGCAAGGCGTTCTCGCTCTCGGCGCCTGGCTATCGCTTCGAGCCCTCGCACTTTATTCTTCGCTGCATCGTCCACAAGGCCATCGAGTCTGGCGAGGATCTCGTGCTCTATCAAGAGTCGCGGTCGAACAACGAGGTCCGCTTTGCCATCTGGATTGCCGTCGACGTGGCGGCTCGTTGCGCCGTCGCCCTCAAGCTCCACATCTACACCCGCACCTCGAGCTCAGTTGCCGTCTACCCGCTTGTCGCCGACCCGGGCTCGGCCTTTGCCGCTGCCGCTGCGCCGGCCGCGCTCCAGGCCACGCTCGACTCGGCTGACTTTGATACATCGGCCTCGGACTCTAGTGCCACTTCTGCCGCCTCGTCTGCGGGCTTTGTCTCTTCGCCCCAGATCGCGCGCCTCATCCAGACGGCAGCCCACGCTCCGCCGGTCACAACTTCGGCGTCGGCGTCAGCCTCATCCGCTGCGACCACCACGACCACCACAACCGCCACAACTGCCACAACCGCTACAACCGCCACAACCCTTGACTCTCGGCTTGCCAGTATCGAGACTGCGCTTGCCGCCCTCGTCGCGAAGCTTTAACCAGCGTCACGACCCAGATGCCGTCCTTGCCTTGCCCTTTACAGTACGGAATGGACAAAGATGTCCATCGCGCAAGCCGCGCTCCGGCGACGCTCCACAGACGTCGCAACGTCCATGGATTGTTGTAAAAGAGTAGTACAATGTGTTCATGGCTGCCACAACAGACAACAGTCGGCGAAGGGCGCGGAGCTGACGGCGTCGGCGCTGGCGACGAGGGCGTCGATGATGTCGTAGAGAAATGCAACGCGAGGCATGGCAGGGCGTGAGCTCGCGTCAGCGTCGAGCGCGTACGCGTTGATGAGTGCGGCGTCCAGAACCCAGCACAAGATGGTGTGCGACCACTTGCGCGGCCTCGCCGACCGGCAACCTCGTCCGTCGCAAGACGTCCTCGCGCGCTCCCGTCCGGCCGCGGTGTTCAACTCTGGCATGCTCTCCTTCCCTGTCGTCGGGGTCGTCAACAACAAGCTCCGCACCGTCCGCGCCCGCCGCTCCTCCGGATCGGCGCCATACGGCATCTCGTGCGCCTCGCCCGTGCTCCCAGGTCGGGCATCCTTCAGGCGGGCGTCTACGTGTCAGCCGCCATCACGTGCAGGCGCGCCTCCCACCTCAAGCCGCAGGCCAAGCAGGCGTCACGCAGCGTCGGTCGGTGACCTGGAAGTCAAGCATCATCGAGTTGTTCATTTTGAGACGCGCAACAATGCGTCTGAACAACCGTACCAGTAAGGGCTAAGGCGTCATGTGCACCGAGACACGAGCCCGAGCCTCTCTCATGAAACCACGCCTTCACCCACACAAACGCACTCCTACTCTTACCCTCCCCCTCCTCCTCCCCTTCCCTAACCCCTCCCCCCCCCCCCCCCTTCCCCCCCCCCCGCCAAACCTCGTGACTCCCCTGTCCCCTTCCCCCCCCCATCATCCTCAGCGCATCATTGTCCAACAAAAAAAAACTTCTCTGA